GACTAAAAATAACAATGCTTTACATTGCCAGAATACTCAACAGTTTACAAAATGCTTGAACATCTGTGATCTTATTTGATCCTCACAAGAAGATAGAGAAACACAGTTAAAGGAAATTATATGCATCACTCTTTTGTGAAACAATTCTAGTGGCTTATGAAATATAACAGCTCTCAAAAAGATTTCTAGTCTGTCATTAGCAGTAACAATTCAACTGATAGCATAGAAAGAGATAAGAAAGATATACTCTACAATAAGAAAAATGGATTGGAGGAATATATAATGGCAACTCTCATTTACTGTGATAAAGACAGACATATTATTCAACCTGAGACAGTTACAGAATATGATTCTAAAGGATAAGTAATGAGATACCGGAAATGAGTAATGAGACTCAAGCTTTGGACTCAAGCTAGTTTCAGCTCACTCCAGAGGAATTATTACCATACTTAACATTTCTACTGCACAGTATTGATCGTACTAATGCCATTTCGAAGGAGCTGTAGCTCTGGGGATTCAGAGCAGATATTGGGAAGAATTCAAGAGAGCCAACAGCAGCAAACTGGAGTGGGCAGATACCATGTGGGCTCTCAGGCCAGCTGAGAGCTTCTCCTTATGACATAATGCATCTTGCTCTCTCGTACCCTTGCTCTCCAAGAATGTTGTCACTGGGTATCCTGCTGGAGAGTTTGATGAGTTACCCTGGAAACTTGCATAATATTTCTATTTAAATAGAAATCCATCTTTTAAACAAGTGATACATTTTTAAAGTATTTTATTGTTTTCCTTCCCTTTTTCCCTTTTTTCTCACAGAATTAATACATATCCCTTATTAAAAATTTTTCAAACATTATAGAAATATGAGAAAATGTGGCTTTGGTCAGCATTTTACTTACTAAGGCAGAAAGCAGAAGAGGCACAGAAAGAATACTCACCTCCTCCTTTCTGTCAAAGTGGCCTCTGTTAATAATTTAGTGTAAAGTCCAGATTTTTTCTACGCACACACTTAATCTGGCAATAACCTTTAAAGATCTCTGCACCATATACATATATATTTTTTTTCTTTTAGACAGAGTCTCACTCCATCACCCAGGCTAGAGTGCAATGGCACATTCTCAGCTCACTGCAACCTCTACCTCCTGGGTTCAAGCGATTCTCATGCCTCAGCCTCCTGAGTAGCTGGGATTACAGACACCACCACCATGCTTGGCTAATTTTTGTATTTTTAGTAGAGATGGGGTTTCACCATGTTGGTCAGGCTGGTCTCAAACTCCTGACCTCAGGTGATCTGCCTACTTCGGCCTTCCAAAGTTCTGGGATTACTGGCATGAGTCACTGCGCCCAGCCTATACTTTGGACAACTATCTTATATCAAGCAGGAATTAGAATGATTTGACCCTTATCATATTTTAAAAATAAGTCAGCCTCATACATTAAACACGGAGAGATTGAAGATCTGAAGAAATGTTTTAAAAAGTGATGGGGAAAAAGTCCATATGAGTTCGAAACCAGCTAGAGCTCGGGCTATCCAAATTCTGGGAACTGTAAAGATAACAGGTTTTTAGCTGTCAAAATTTGAAATAGAATATACAGGAGCCAGAAAGTTTGAAGTAAGAATGTGGTCAAATACGTCCCTGGTATGAACTTTCGGCTGACTAAAACAAACACCAAAATAGCAACAGCATCCGTCTCAGATAAACCTGCTTTCCCAGCAGCCTCCTTTGCTTGCAAGAGATTTCCATTACATTTTTCTAGAAGAGCAGCACCGTGCTTCCATGGAAACATCAGTACTGCTGCTGCTGCATGAAGCACCAAAGCTCTGTGACTTCCTAATCTCTGGTTTCCATGCTTGGAAATGCAGCCCTGCTGTTTCAGAACTCAAGCCCCTATCTTGCAAAGACACTGTGCGTGGAAGGTCTGCAAGTCACCGGTGTGGAGCTTGTGTCGTATCTTTCTACAGAAATGAGTCTAGTTGGGATTGTGGAATTCTTAGAGCAGTGCAGTTAATCAAATTGTACCCAAAGTACCCAACTGGGTGTCCTGTAGAGATATGAGACCTTGAGAAACATTGTCTTTTTTTTTTTTTTTTTTTTTTGAGACGGAGTCTCACTCTGTCACCCAGGCTGGAGGTGGTGCGATCTTGGCTCACTGTAACCTCTGCCTCCTGGGTTCAAGCAATTCTTCTACCTCAGCCTCCCAAGTAGCTGAGACTACAGGCACGTCCCACTCCACCTGGCTGTTTTTTGTATTTTTAGTAGAGACAGGGTTTCACTATATTGGCCAGGCTGGTCTTGAATTCCTGACCTCATGATCTGCCCATCTCGGCCTCTCAAAGTGCTGGGATTACAGGCATGAGCCACCCTGACTGGCCCAGGAAACATTATTTTTAAAAAATGTTTTCTTTCAGCATTCCAACTTGGGATGCCTGAAATTTGGTCTTATCTCAGGGCCAGGGACTTCCCGTCCTAGTGCATGGCAGGCTTCCAAGGCCCTGGAAACACCATCTCCCAGGGTCTGGCACAGAGTAAGTCACAGGGTAGGCGCTGGGGGCTGGTGAGAAATGGGGTCGAAATACTCTCCACAAACAGGTCTCGACCCAGGAGGTCGCCTCAAAATGCAAATTACTCACCTAAGGCTGAAGTGTAAACCATTGGTTTGTGTCAGTTGCCTTTTCAGCCCTGTGTATATTTGGAAAACAAGCTTTCAAGTAGAAAAAAGAAAGATTGTCTTTTACTTTGGGGATTTCAAAAGAAGGTAGAGGTTTGTGAGCTGCAACATCCAGAACAAAGCAGACACCAGTCTCCGAGGATGTGCAGTTACTTTCAGTGGAGATGGGTTTCAGAATGCAGAACTCTGTAACTTCCTAGATTTAAAGATCTATCATTTCCCTTCTGTTCCTTGCTATAGTGATTAACCTTTAAATATTATTATTATTATTATTATTATTATTTTGTGACAGAGTCTTGCTCTGTCACCCAGGCCGGAGTGCAGCAGTGGGATCTTGGCTCACTGCAACCTCTGCCTCCTGGGTTCAAGCGATTCTCCTGCCTCAGCCTCCTGAGTAGCTGAAATTACAGGTGCCGCCATCACACTTGGCTAACTGTTGTGTTTTTAGTAGAGACAGGGTTTTTCCATGTTGGCCAGGATGGTCTCAAACTCCTGACCTTAAGTGATCTGCCCTCCTCGACCTCCCAAAGTGCTGGGATTACAGGTTTGAGCCACTGCACCCAGCCTAAACTTTAAAATAAAATAAAAAGTTTCTGTCCTTTTCTAGGGGGATAGCAAAAAAAGAAGTGGAGGAGTCTGCACCTTTTCTCCCTAAGCAGTCTTGGGAAAGCAGATTTCCAAGTGTTGAAGTGTACAGTGTGGATTTTAAGAGGTTATCATCGTGAGAGGAAGGCACAGAGAAGACGTTCTCAAAGTGGAACCAGTGGCAACAGCATCACCTGGGAACTGAGACATACACACTCTCAGGCCCCACTGAGTCACAGGCTCTGGGAATGGGGCCCAGTAAGCTGAGTGCAATACGTCTTCCAGGTGATCCCAATATTCAAGCTCAGACTTGAGGATCACTGGCACAGTGGTTAAGGGAAGGACCTGCTTTTAAATCCTGTCTCTGCCACTTAACAGCTCTGTGAGCTTGAGCGAGGTAGTCTTTCTGAGTTTCTGGAGAGGAGTTAAGTGAGATAACGTACCTGAAGCACTTAGTGCAATGTCAGATACATAGAAAGCGCTCAATACATGTTAGCGGCTATGGTCACTATTATGTATGAGGGAGAGGAAAAATGAAAAGTCCTTCAACAAATCAGCACAGCATTTACCAGCTTAAACGCCCTTTCAGTTACTGACATTGTGTTTCCAGGAAATCCAAAGGTCACATACATTCTGTGTGATCTCATCCACACAAAAATTGGAACAGAGCAGTCGTTCTTTATCATCAGAACCCACATAGAGCTTTTACATTCTGCCCCGCCGCCCGCCAGCCTTCAGAGCCATAATCTCCTGTGGCAGACCCTGGTCAGCCATCATTTTTAAAAATCCCCATAGACAATGCTGCAAAACAGCTGCTGGAATCAAAGGTGGTAATAGTTAGAGCTACGAAGTATTGAATAGTTATGTGTGCCAGGCACTGTGCTAACTTCTTTATAGATGTTGCTTTATTTCATTCTCACAGCAATCCTGTGAAATAGGTACTATCAGTTTTGGGGCAGGGTGAGGGGGATGGAGTTTTGCTCTAGTTGCCCAAGCTGGAGTGCAGTGGCCCGATCTTGGCTCCCTGCAATCGCTGCCTCCCGAGTTCAAGCGATTCTCCTGCCTCAGCCTCTGGAGTAGCTGGGATTATAAGCGCGCACCACCAGGTCCCGCTAATTTTTGTATTTTTAGTAGACCTGGAATTTCACCGTTGGCCAGGCTGGTCTCGAACGCCTGACCTCAGGTGATCCGCCTGCCTCAGTCTGCTAAAGTGCTGGGATTACAGGCGTGAGCCGCTGCGCGGGCCTACTATCAGTTTTAAATTTTACACATGAGGAAACTGAGATACAGAGGGGCTAAGTAACCTCAAGTTCACACACCTGAGAAGCGGTTTAGGCCCTGAGCCAGGTTTGAGCTATTAACTGCATGCACTTCACTGATGCAAAAACAGATGCATTCATTTACTAATCACCCAGCATGCATTTGTTGTTCGTGGCCAGGTAATACCTGAAAGCTGGGGGATATAAACTGAGCAGAGTCCCATCTCCAACCTCTGGAAGCTCACGCCCTCTAGGGATGGGTGGGCGGGGCAAATAGCAGAGAGATCGCCTTATTTTAAAAGATGAGGCTGTAAAGATTTTCCATGGCCACTAGCCTCCTCCTCTCCGTGGCCATTTACAGAACGGGCAAACCAGACTGAAGACCAGGCCTGCTAGCGATCATCGTTCCGGCAACTCTGCAGGCCCTTCCAGCGGGCCTCGCTCTCCTCGCGGGCGTGGCAGCTTCATTCGGTCACCCCGTGAGTATTGCACCTCCCGAGGGAGGCCGAGCAATCTCACCGGGGCGACGGGGGCCCTCGCCAACGAGCCGGGCGGCTGGCTCTCCTCCAGGGAGAAACCCTGTCACTTACACTTTTCCTCACCACTGTTAGGAAGTCTCCCAGAAAAGTACAGACAGAAGACTGAGGCCTGCGTTTTAGATCGTGGAATGTTAGCGTTGGCCAAATCGTTGGACATAATGTAAGCTGGGTCGGGAAAATGAGCTCCCGGTCTCACAGCAGGCGGGGCCTGGAATCCTGGCGCCGTCTGCGACCCTCACTGCCTCCTACGGTCGGGGCTGAGCGTTCCTTCAAAGTAATCACTTAAGTCCAGCAATGACCACCTTGGAGAAAGCAAGTGATCCTCCCTGGGAGACGGCCTGGGAGGGCAGCGCCCCCGGCGCTGGGCACACCACGTCTTCCCCGCACCCGCGGGGGAGGAGGGTTTGGGGACAGAGGCCGCACCCCGGACTCTTCTTCAGGTTGCACTGGAGGAGGCGGCGCGGAACCTTTCCCTTCCGTCTTGCTCTCGCTTCCACCCGGGCCCAATTGGAGCCGGACGCGACAGAGGCGACCTGAACATGGAGACAGCTGGCGCTGGGACTGGGCAGCCAGTTTCTCGGCTGGAGGCTCCGGGATCCACGGATGACCGGCTTTTCCTGGTTAAAGGTAAGGTGTGCTGTGGTGAGGTGCAGGCGTCGGGGGCGATCTAACCCCGGGCCCTGGTTGGCGCTGGAGCGGGCATTCCCACACCCATCCCGCTCTGAGTGCCCTTAGCTTGGACTTGCACCTGAGTTTAGCCCGCGGAATCGGGAGGCTCGGGACGCCTAAGTCGCTTGCTGGGTGGAGTCTCCCCTTGGGCGGGGCAGGGGGCAGATCCCGCGAGCTGTTACTATCTCTGGCGTGCCGTATTTCCCCTTCACCTCTGCAGTTGTTCACGAGCCTTGCCTTTTCTGATTTCCACCGTCTCTCTTTTCCTCCCTGTGAGAAACTTCACACCGTGGTCCCCTGGGGAGAGGTGAAGGGAACCCGAGCCTGCTGTCTGCGCTCGGGGATAATAACTCGGAATGACCCCAGGAACCAGAGGTCGTGAGGTCACGCGGGTTTCTCAGCCGCTGTCATTTACTAACTGTTAGCCAGAGCTGCTTAGCCATGGTTTCTTGAATTTCGAGAAGTGATGTTGATTGTAACTCGAATAGTATCTTGAACTTACTTTTGTACATCTTTTTAACCTCTTTTTATTTAATTTTTTAAATATCCCCCCTCCTCCCCAAAACTCTTTGCAGGTGGAATTTTCCTTGGTACTGTTGCTGCAGCGGGAATGCTTGCAGGATTTATTACAACGTTATCATTGACGAAAAAGAAAAGCCCTGAATGGTTCAATAAGGTTGGTGACACTGAAATGCATTCATAGCATTGTTGTTGTTTACAATATATGGCAGCTTTTGCATTGAAAAAAATAAGGAAAATATTGATGGCCTTTCACATTGCTTTAAGATATGAATTTATATATGCTCATGGATTCTAGAAATATACAAATTAACCAACGGTCTTTATTTTCATTTAGAAAAAATACGTGCTTTCTTAATTTTTAGCAGAACAAGACTGAAAGCTTATCTGGTACATTTCCTATTCACAACATGACTTTAAATCTAAATCTGGGCCAGGCGTCTGGTTGATGCCTGTAATTCCAGCACTTTAGGAGGCCAAGAGGGGCGGATCACCTGAGGTCAGGAATTTGAGACCAGCCTGGCCAACAATGCGAAAACCCATCTCTACTAAAAATACAAAAATAGCCAGGTAGCCGAGCATGGTGGCACACTCCTGTAGTCCCAGCTACTTGGGAGGCTGAGTCAGTAGAACCACCTGAACCTAGGAGGCTGAGGTTGTAGTGAGCCCAGATCGCACCACTGCACTTCAGCCTGGGTGACAGAGTAAGACTCTGTCTCAAAAATAAATAAATATTCACACAAATAACTGTGTAATTACAATTTGGTATGTGCTGTGGAGGGAAGTGTTACATAAAACATAAAACAGTCAAGTTTCCTTTCCACTTACATTTATCTTTAATAATCATACTTTAAGCCTTGTTGATACCATAATGGCAAGAGACCGCCTTTAAAGTGTGCTTTGATCCCCTCTGAATGGTCTAAGCTTAGTTGGAGCTTCCTAAATGCTATGGACCTTGTGGATCATTTTTTCTCTATGTTATAGAATGTTTTTCAGAGCAGAAATAATATTTTGTGGCAGAAATCAGAGTAGTGCTTTAACAGTAGAGTTTTGGTTGATTTCTAAGCCTAAGTTATCATGTTAATCCTTGGCTCACTGATCCTTTTTAATAATCTGATGAAAACTAGGGATTCTCAGGGGCTGGGGGAGCACATACACATATTCATAACTTTCCATCCTATTTTGTTTTGAGATTTGATCATCACAGATGCCCTTCAGGGTCTAACAGTGGTTTTCAAACCATGGTCCACAGAACCCTGCTAATCCTTGATCCTTGGGTCCATGAAGTCAAACTATTTTCATAATGATACGAAGATGCTTGCGCTAATGGTACAGAAGCAATGGAGAGTAAAACTGCTGTTACCTTGGTATAACCAAGGCAGTAGCTCCAAACTGCTGGAAGCCATTGTGTTCTCCATTACAAAGCACCTGTATTTTTTAAAGCCAGCATTACTTAAGAATGTCCTTGTTGAAGAAATAAAATAGTTAATTTTATTAAACCATGACTCTCGATTAAACCTCTTTTTAATAGACTACGTAAAGGGAAATATAGAGAGCATTTCTATTTTATACTGAAGTAAGATTTTTTCTCTAGGAAAGCAATTGCAAGCTAAATTAGCCCCTTTTTTTCCTATAGAATATCATTTTTACTTGAAAGAACAACTGACAAACTGTGGTTATTCAGAAGTGGGTATTTGGCAGACATTTTGATAATGAACAAAAAGCCTGTCTTTTTAAGCAAGCAATTGTCAGTATTTATTGCCCCTGATAAAAATCAGACTTTCAAGTGAAAATTAGATTTTAGAAAACTTTTATCTGCCATCATGAGCTTCACGATTGCTCAGTATTTAGTGTTTTTTTCAATGAGCTTGTATGGTGATATTAATGATGTGCTTTTTAAAATACTGTTTTAATAAATAGTGTCAACAATTGAAAATCCATATAACTTGAGAGACCTGTATAACCAGTATCTTCTGAACAAGTGTGATACATGGAATAAAAGTCCATTCAAAGTGCAAAATAGACTAATGGGTTTTCATGTAATAAATTACAAAAATTATTTTTATGACTTCATGTTTCACGTTGCAACTAATCTTTATTATTTGTTTTTGTGTATTATCAGAGAAGGAAAGCTATTACAATACTCTTCCATTTTCCAAAGATGTAGTCATGTATCTGTGTGAGGCCACGTTTCATTCGTTTATTTTCACCAAAGATAATATCTTGCAACAGATTGAATATAAAAGCAGATATGAAGATTCATCTATCTTTTGTTAAGCTAGATATTTAAAAGAGTAACAGGCCAGGTTTGGTGGCTCATGCCTGTAATCCCAGCACTTTGGGAGGCTGAGGCGGGCAGATCACTTTAAGCAGGAGTTTGAGACCATCCTGGGCAATATGGTGAAACCCTGTCTCTACTAAAAATACAGAAATTAGCTGGGTATGGTGGCATCCACCTGTAATCCCAGCTACTTGGGAAGCTGAGGCATGAGAATTGCCTGAACCTGGGAGGTGGAAGTTTTTCAGTGAGCTGAGATCATGCCTCTGCACTCCAGCTTGGGAGACAGAGTGAGACTCCATCTCAAAAAATAGAAAAAATTAAAAATAAAAATAGAGTAACAAAAATATAAAACATTCTCTCTTTGCACAATTTTGCTTTGAAAAAGTTATTTTTCGTTAAAAAAAAAAAGGCTTATATTAGTATAGAATGATTTACTATTTTTAAATGACTAATACAATTTAAGAATTTCTTAATTTTAATTTTGAATACATTAAATGTTGATAAATATAACCCATCTAATTGAAAGTCTTTAGGGCCCAAATGTAAAGGGATCTTGACACCAGGAAGTTTGAGAACCACTGTTTTAGATGCTTTGGTCTCCCCCTGGGAAAACATTGGAATTAGAGTATTATCACTTACCCAGACTTTGTTTCAGAGGTAAAATGGTTTGTAGAAGCACTCAGAGACTTTGGAGCACACAGTTAATGCATTTATACTGAGCAAGCACCAGTTTACGAATCTCACTTAGGCAGTGCACTTCACAGTTGTCACTTGGGAAGTTATAACAATAAATATTTTTAAAAATGTATTGGACACATTATGAAAACACAGCCAGATATTTCTGTGATGCAAATACATTAAAATATTGTATCAGATAAGAGTGTTCTCTGTAGGGGAAATAATTAGATTGAACTTTCATTTTAAAAATTCATTTGATTGCCAGGCACGGTGGCTCACGCCTGTGATCTCAGCACTTTGGGAGGCCAAGGCAGGCAGATCACCTGAGGTCAGGAGTTCAAGACCAGCCTGACCAACATGGAGAAACCCTGTGTATACTAAAAATCTAAAATTAGCCATGTATGGTGGTGCATGCCTGTAATCCCAGCTACTTGGGAGGCTGAGGCAGGAGAAATGCTTGAACCTGGGAGGCAGAGGTTGCAGTGAGCCAGGACTGTGCCATTGCTATCCAGCCTGGGCAACAAAAGTGAAACTCCGTCTCAAAAAACCCAAAAAACATAAAATTCACTTGATTTAAATAAAATTCATCTCAGGATTAAACTGAAGAAAAGCTAAAACTGTGAACCATATTTTTAAGTATATAGTTGACCTCTGACTAACTGAACACTTAGCTTAATTTTGTCACCTGCTTTTTCAAGGATTCTGGTAAGTGGTAGAAGATAAGGGACGCCTGTATCTTCAGGCCTGAGAGGTATTATAAATACAGAGTTCTCATTTAGAAAATAATTTTTCTGTTTCATCTTCGGGATTCTATATACCCTAATTGCAATGTGATTTGTTAATTTCAATTTCCATATACAGGTGCCTTAATTTTAATTTAAATTAAGAAAAACAATGGGTCAGTGAGGAAAAGTGTAGCCATATATACATATATGCACATGTATCCTAGCATGTGTGTCTGTGTCTAAAGATCTTTTAAAATAATGTTATTTTTTGGCAAGTCAGTCTTTTCCTGCAGCAAGTCAGCCAGTGTTCATTTTGCAAATTTTGAACATGGTATCTGAATGTCATGTGACATTCTTCCTCAGGGAATAAAGCTTGTGACTAGATTTTTAAAAACTTAATGGAACTTAAAAACTAAAATAATTTAGAAAAAAAACTTAATGACAGATCAACATTTAACAATCAAGTTTCCACTAAAATTCATTTTGGATATAGGCCATAGCTAATAATAACTCATTTCAGGCTGAGGTGGGAGAACTGCTTCAGGCCAGGAGTTGGTACAAGAAAAAAAAAATTAGCCAGATGTGGCGGCGCACACCTTTAGTCCTAGCAACTTGAGATGCTGAGGTTGGGGGGTGAGGGTTGCTGGAGCCCAGGAGTTTGAGGCTGCAATGAGCTGTGATCATGCCTGGGTGACAGAGTGAGACTCTCAAAATAAATAAATAACAATATAAAGTTATTGTAAAAAAGAAAAGCACTCTAATAAATGGAAATGTATTTCCAGATGGAAGACAGGATGTTATAAATTTGCTATCTCTTATCAGATTAGGATTAATGTCATTCTGTGAAAATGCCAATGAATGGGGGATAGAGAAATCTTGACAAAATGGTCTAGGATTTTTCTGGAAGAATTAACAGGCAGTGTCTTGCATAACCAAATATTTGTGAGTGAGAAAGCATTCAGTTATTAAGTAGTAAAGCTAGAATTTGACCTTGAGTTGATCTAGCTTCCCAATATCTTGTTGCTTGCACACAGAGAAATTTGCAAACACTCCCAGAATGCTTATTCTTTCTGCGCTGATTGTTTTTACCTGAACCTTTCTGTCTCATTTCAGGGAAGTATGGCCACGGCTGCATTACCGGAGAGCGGGTCTTCCCTTGCCTTACGAGCTCTGGGCTGGGGCTCACTGTATGCTTGGTGTGGGGTTGGCGTAATTAGCTTCGCAGTCTGGAAAGCTTTAGGAGTTCACAGTGTGAGTAACTACAGTCTTGTCACTGGTATCTAGAAGTTTATTCTTTCTGTGTTCTAAATTTTCCTGGTTTTCAAAGTTGCATGTAGTTTGGCCACTGTCTTGGGAAATGATGACAGAGTATGTGACTAAATTCTTACTAATAACTGGACAACTTCTTATTACCAATAAATCAGCCAGCTAAATTTTTGAAGGTGGTAAAACTTCAAATATAATTAATGACTAATTTATAGCTAATGTCCTATATAAATTGACATTAGGGTGGGTGCAGTGAGTTATGCCTATAATCCCAGCACCTTAGGAGCCTGTGGCAGGCAAATGAGTTGAGCTCTGGAGTCCAAGACCAGCCTGAGCAACGTGATGAAACCCTGTCTCTGCAAAAATAGTAGCTGGGTGTAGTGGAATACACATGTAGTCCCAGCTACTCAGGAGTCTGAGGCAAGAGTATCACCTGAGCCTCGTAGGCTGAGACTGCAGTGAGCCAAGATCACTGCACTTCAGCCTTGGCGATGGAGTGAGACCCTGTCTCAAATAAATAAATTGACATTAGCTGTTTGTTTAATAGAATTATTAATTTGGAACAACTTTCTATGCTGTTTGGCATCATATAATATAAAATCTTTGTAAAAGAGTTAAAACATTTTTAAAATAATTATTTAAATTATTAATGTGTTATTTTCACATTTTTGGAAAAAAATCCTAAAAGCTTGTGTGTGTGTGTGTGTGTGTGTGTGTGTGTGTGTGTGTGGTGTGTCTATGTTGTGTATATGTGTAAAATTTGTGCCTCAAGCTACAGAGCGTTACGTAAAGAATGACTGCCTTCTTTTTTTTTTAAACAACTGGTTGCAAGTTCTGTGGACTGGGCCCTTCGTGACTGGAGAGAATTGGCAGTAGTTTGAGATAGGTGGTGATGGTAAAGTTAATGAAAAGGGCCGGACATGGTGGCTCACGCCTGTAATCCCAGCACTTTGGGAGGCCGAGGCGGGTGGATCACAAGGTCAAGAGATCGAGACCATCCTGGTCAGCATGGTGAAACCCCGTCTCTACTAAAAATACAAAAATTAGCTGGGCATGGTGGCGCGTGCCTGTAATCCCAGCTACTAGGGAGGCTGAGGCAGGAGAATTGCTTGAACCCAGGAGGCAGAGGTTGCGGTGAGCCGAGATTGCGCCATTGTACTCCAGCCTGGGTAACAAGAGTGAAACTCCGTCTCAAAAAAAACAAAAAAAAAAGTTAATGAAAAGAAATTCTGGATGTATTTTGAAGGTCAAGTCAGCAAAGATTTGTTGTCGATTGGATGTGGAGTGTGAGAAAGAGTGAAGTTAGGATGTCATCAAGACTTTCAGCCTGAGCAACTGGAGGGTGGGTGGGGAGCAGTGTGAGGAGCAGGCATGGGGATAACGTCAGGAGCTCGATCTGCGACTTGTGAGGTCGACACATCTGTTTGATAGTGAGATGGAGAGCAGTAAGCAGTTAGATATAGAAGCTGAGAGTTAGGGGGGAAGTACAAGGTAAGATTTAAATTTGAGACTCATTGGTATATGCGCCGCATTTAAAGCCATGAGACTAGATTAACTCACCAAGGCAGTGAAGGTTGAAAGAAAGAAGAGGTCTGAGGAAGGAACTCTTGGTTAGAGGTCGGGGAATGAGGGGAAAGTACCCTTGAAGAGGGAAATCTCCTTGGCTTGGTGACATAGACACCAGATAAAGAAAACATTTCAAGAAGTGACTGTGCTGTATGCTGGTAATAAGTTACGTAAGCGGAGAACTGAGAATTCCTTGGATCTGGCAGTGTGGCAGCCATTGGTGAAATGGTGGAGTAAAGCCTGAGAGATTCAAAAGAGAGTAGAGGAGAATCAGAGGCACTGAGTCTATGTGAGCCTTGAGTTCTGCCACAAAGTGAAGGAAGGAAGTGGGGTCATAGCTGGAAAAAAGAAAGGGATCAAGAGATAGTTTTTTTTACTTGTTTTATTTTAAATTGGGGGAATTAGCAGCATATATATGCTGATGGGAATGATGCCGCAGGGAGGAAGAAACTGGGGCAAGTTGGCGGGGTTGCAGGAACAACCTCGCAGGCATTACTGAGCTTTTCATATTTTGTTTAATCGTAAACAAACAAACATCACTGTGCTTGTCACTCAGAATACGCGGATAAGACAGACGAAGGTGCTTTTCTCCTAGTCTAACCTTTGTTTTTAAAATTTATTTTTATTTTTTGGAGACAGAGAACTTCCTCTGTCGCCCCGGATGGAGTACAGTGGCACAGGCTCAGCTCACTGCAGCCTCCTGGGCTCAAGCCACCCTCCCGCTTCAGCCTCCCGAGTAGCTGGGACCACAGGTGCATGCCACTATATCTGGCTAATTTTTTAAATTTTTTCCTGGACTCAAGCAATCTTCTGCCTCAGCCTCCCAAAGGGCTACGATAAAAGGTGTGAGTCACCACACCTGGCCCTAACCTTTATTTTTGAGTTAACTTTGCTGGCTAGTCATTGTATTGCTGAATTAGAGATTGCTTGAAAAGACAGAAAATCTGTGACTGAAAATTTTTTCATGATTTTTGCTGTTAACCTCAATTTTGCTTTTGACCAATATAAAATCTCTTCTTCCATTTCAGTCATTGTACATTTTAGACAGATTATTTAATCTTCATAATAACTATACAGCAGATATTAATAGCCCCCATTTTATAAATGAGGAAATTGGGACTTGAAGTTAAATCACTTGCCCGAGATCACATAGCTTGTGATTGGCAGTGTCAAGATGTAAACCCAGGTCCGAATCTTCAGATTATTAAGTAGTACTTAGTAATAGTTATTGAGCTTCTACTTTCTATAAACGTGACAATTTGCTAGCACTTTGCATGAACTGTGTGGAATTGATACATAATATTTTCAGTGCTTAGTAATGTGGCTCACAAACTTCTTAGTAAAATTTTAAGGTATTTGAAAATACAAATAGTCTGACTTAGAAGAGTCAATCCCAGTTTTCATCAGCCAATAAAATTAGGTTATCTAAATTATACACTTGATAATTTGGTGTTTATGGACTAGACTGTGCTAGAATAATCCAATTGTTTATTCATAATTATGGAATTTCATTCCGTGTAGAACACATATATTAAATATAAACATACATTTGCATTTCAGATGATTGCCAGGTGGTATATCATTTAATCAGAGGTTCCAAAGAAGGAGAGGTATTGGAAGCTATCTTGTTAGCAAACAAAGCAGGGACATTTGCCTAGCATCGAAGATGGGTAGAATGTGAACTTCTTTGTTTTATGGCACTAATAAGAGGATTGCAGCCTAAATGAGATATTTTGGTGAGAAAAAAAATATTTTCTGGTTTTCACTACTGAATATAAGAATATGTGTTGCATGTTTATGTCTAACTAAAAAGAGAGATTGCATGTACACTGTCTCCCTACATGTAGATCATTAGGCATATCAATTTGATCTCCATGTCTGAGAATGCCCACAGAATAATGAACCCACCAATACCTTTTCAAGGACACATCTTTTAAAGGCAGTAGTGTTTATTAATTTGCTGATTTGTTCATTGTACATCATTTATGGGCCTCCCCTGAGTCATGCACTGTGCTAAGACAGGGCTACCCAGTAGAGTGGTAAAAGCCTTACCTGTTGACTTTCTAAGCAAATTCTCATGGATGACCCTGTGCTGAGGCTTGCAGACAGCAATGTGCTATATTTAACTCTGCGTTTAGAGAGTATTGATGATAATTATGAGGTTACGCTGAGTCCAGTAAGAACTTCTGTCACTGTTCCATCTTTTTATGACCAAGAAAACAGTCTCAGTCAGAAAACATTGAACAGAAATGGTCCAAGTCTACACACTCAATCAATAATTGATGACGTTGCAGATAAATGCAGGTAAATCAAAATCAACTCCAGTGTCAAATTATAAGTAGCTAGCTTGAACTGTATTAAATCTCTGATAGAAACCCAGTTCCAATACAAAAGGGTGCCATCTAATGGCTAAGCTAGAGCAGCTTGATGGAAGTACTGGTAGTTCCTATTTTAATTCACAGCTACATCTGCTGGCCTAAAAGGGAACATGTTTAAAATGCTTAATGTGAAACTTAGTTCCTTAAAAGTATTTTGGTTTTACTGTTTATTCATAATTATTCTGGAATTTCATTTCACGTAGAACATATACAATAACATTAAATATAAAACACGTGTATTTTGTACAATGGCATGTCATTTAATCAGAGGTTCCAAAGGAGAAGTAGGGGAAGATGTCTTGTTAGCAGACCAAAGCAGGTAAGTTTGCCCACCATTGGCAATGAGGAGAAATCAGTGCCATTTCAATATCTACCCTGCTCCCCTGCCCAGCATGGCTAGCAAGCACGTCTTGACCATTCAGTTTGTGTTTATCGATTACTTTCAATTATGGCATTTTATTGTTTGATTATGAGTAAGATAGCACTAATCTTATCGCAATAACTTAATTGTGGAAAAAAAGATGAGCATTTCCTTTGGGTTTATAGTCTCCTAAATCAGCTGTGTACATGATCCTGGGAATGCACCCTGGGCCACTATAATGAGGCCAGGTGAGTGCATACTGGGGCACTAGATGAGGCTAGGTGAGCGCACACTGGGGCACTATGATGAGGTCAGGTGAGTGCACCCTGGGGCACTATGATGAGGCCAGGTGAGTGCACACTGGGGCACTGTGATGAGGCCAGGTGAGTGCACACTGGGGCACTGTGATGAGGCCAGGTGAGTGCACACTGGGGCACTACGATGAGGCCAGGTGAGTGCACACTGGGGCACTATGGTAAGGCCAGGCGAGTGCACACTGGGGCAGTACGATGAGGTCAGGCGAGTGCACACTGGGGCACTACGATGAGGTCAGGTGAGTGCACACTGGGGCACTACGATGAGGTCAGGTGAGTGCACACTGGGGCACTACGATGAGGCCAGGTGAGTGCACACTGGGGCACTACGATGAGGTCAGGTGAGTGCACACTGGGGCACTACGA